TTGTGTTTGTTTGTTTTTTGGGTTTTTTTTTTTTTTTTTTTTGTGTGTTATACAGTTAGATATTCCAAAGTACAAATTTACTAAAGATAGGAGTTTACGTGTGTGGCGAGGAAAATATTTTAATATTACATAGAAAATTTTTAATAAATGCCAATTTTTTTATTCTTTTTTTTTTTTTTTTTTTTTTTGTGGGGTTTTTTTTTTTTTTTTTTTTTTTTTTTTTTTTTTTTTTTTTTTTTTTTTTTTTTTTGATAAATAGCGTTCAACAAGTTTATGAAATGTATAAGTATATCGGAGGAGTATATATATATATATCCTTTTAAACGGAATGTTATTATTTCTTTTTTTTCTTCTTTTTGTAAATGAAAAAGACGTGAAATTAATGCGCATACTCGGGGGTCCAAGTAATTCCGAACTTCTGAATTACCTAACAGTATCGATTCTCGTTCCATAAAAGGCAACATGCCACTTATCGGTTGCACTCTGCGGTATTTGATTGGCGTTAATATTAGGTTTCAATGGGAACCTAACCCAGCCCACCGGCATCACGAACTCGGCCAACGGCTCGCCTTTCTTACAAATGGCCGAGTTACCGTCAAGTTTGAAACAGGAGCTGCAGTAGCAAAGTATCTCGTCGAGAGAGAAAAACTCATCCGGCAATACCAATGAGTTTTTCAGTCTTATGCAAGCTTTGAGGTACTCGCATTTCCTCGAGGGTGGCATCACCAAATTGCTGGTGGCCAAGGGTGTGGACGGCATCGATGCGTGTGAGGATATTGTCTGAGCAGTGCTCAGAATGCTGTTGGAGAAGTAGTTGTGTGAAATCTGTATACCCTGCTGAAATTGAAAATAAATATCATTAATATTTTGTATTTCTATAAAATCCAGATGCTTTTAACCATTTTTTTCTTCTTCATTTTATTAAGGTGATTTTACAATGATCCCCGTTACGACTATAATCGTGTGATATCGAGCGAAAAGAAGGTGATAAATTTGTGTTATTAGCAAGTAGGAGGTCATTGATATTAAATGATCGATTGAATAATTCAAACAATACAATTTACAATTTTCTCATTTAGCGCGAATGGGAAGTGTCGAGATTGTTCGACTATACGTCTAATTTACATCGATTAGTCTATAATATCGTAACTGTAAATACTCTATTACTGAAATACTGTATAATTTAAGTCAATAGCCTATATGAATATTGTCTATGAAAGTGTTTAGATCTTAAAGTGCAAAATGCAAAATGTACGATCAAACTCACCAATGAGTGCCTGTGAAGATTCAAGACGAGCTCATGGGGTGCGTTCGTAGGGCAATGATTTGTGTGCCAACCTCGAGCATTCGAACTCCCCGTCATTATTGCGTTGTTATTGTTTTGCGTACTATTCGATGCAATGCTCTCGTTTATCGCATTATTCGCATTAGTTGCATTTATAGCAGTACTTAACGTGCTGATATTTGTTGAATTTATAATCGAGCCATTCTTAATGTTGATATTCGTGGCGTTATTTAATTCAACGTTCGAACAGGGTTCGTTATTATTCATGACGAGAGGAGAATCTTGACTACTTCCCTCTCGTAGTGACTCGTAGTGGTCTTCCGCAGCGGCGATGTCATTATCGTGCAATGGTGTAGGAATTATCGAATCCTTATCATTATATGCGCCATTATCGTGGACGTGGATACTGGAACTTTCGGAATTCGATTGGGAATCAGAGCAGAGCTCGGAGCAGTTTTCGGATGCCATCGCTTGCTTCAGTTCTATCCACACGGAAATGATAAAAAAAAAAGAAAAAAAAATCAACAAAAAAAAAAGAAGAAAAAAAAAACAGAAAGAAAGAAAACAATTGAATTCGGTTGATTTTTAGATGTAATTTGAAAGAGATTTTTATATTTGTAATTTCATGTAATGGGAGGAGGGATTCGATTGTTATTACGAATAAACTAACGAATAAACGAATAATTCGAGAGGCTAATTATATTTCATTAAACAACTCAATAAGAGAGTTAAATTTATTGTGCAGAATTGCCGTGGTACCTTTATGATTAGACAGTGAATTCCTGCTCGCTAAATTATTATTCTTGGCCACTGTAGTGCTCAGATTTCCTTCGTCTAGCTCTGCTTTCACCTCGTTACTCCCGCCTCTTTCTTGCGTATCTAATAATCTTGGAATCTCATCCGTAAGCTCATCCACATGCATTGCGCTACCGCTTTCCTTCTCATGACACTCGAGATCTGCTTTTTCCCTCGAATTCTCAACATCATCCGCTTCGATGGCCAGCCTCTCCATCGCGCAAGCGGCCGCATTATTTGTGTCGTTCAGCATCTCGTTATAGTTAATGGGTGGACTGTTCGTGCTCTCGCTAGATACATTGACTATGGAAATCTGCTCGCATTGGCCATAGAGATCGATCACCGCGTACACGTACGGAGGTAGATCCGAGGCTGCAACACCTTGATCTAGACCGTCGATGTATAGATGTAATCGTGAATCCTCATCAATCAGTAGGCCTACCGTTGAACCTACGTGCAATCTCTCGAGATTTGCGCCATAAGACGATCGAATCTGCGATGGAAAGAAGCTTACGATTTATTTTACCCCTTAAAAATATATGAATTAAAAAGAAAAAAAAAAAAGAAGTATAAAATTAGAGATAAAATTGTAAATCTATGTTAATTAAATTTTTATCGATACCATTAAGCATTATTTATTTGCGACAATGTCTATAAATTATAATGCCTCAATTGATTATTCATAATCTATGGCTAATTGGCTACGTTTATCGTACGTCGAGGCACATGACAAAATACTGTCGAATCCAGATAATTAGATTAATTTTAATTAAAGATTCGTATAACCTTCGTTCCGTTATGAGATAGCCAATCCCCGCATATGATCCACGAGTATTTTTTTAATCCAAGAGCTGTTACGGGAAAAGTTATCTTGTCAGGCGATAAACACGAGATTCCACACAGCATTCCAGACACCCATCGCTCATTCATTTTATCAATTTTAACTTGAAGTAGCTTATTTTTTATTAAAGGCTTACTTGACATGACCATTCCTATAAAATAGAACTTTTGAAGAAAAAAAGAAAAATAATGGCACATTCCGATCTACTTTAAAGCGTAGAAATAAAAAGCGAAAGAATAAAAGATAAAAGAAAAAACATCTCGTAGCAAATTGACATTAAAAATAATTTAAGAATTTGTGTTTACCCTGATTATAGCTTGCCACTCTTTTAGCTATTGTTTTTTTCTCCAATTGCACATTTCGACCGTGATTTTCGTGAAATTCATATGGCCAATCAGTTTCGCCTAGCAATGGCAGAGGCATTTGAGTTGGCGTTATCAGTTCGTTTAATAATTTACCTTCGCCACACGTATCGATCGACGTATCCATACCGTTATCGCTAAAATTTCCAATACATATAATCATTAAGCGAAATGTAAAATTACACATTGCCTATTGCATAGGAATACACGAAGGAAATACTTGAAACATAAAAGCTTATTTATCATGGATGTCGTTTCGTACACATATTGTCAATTATTTCGCTACTACTGCATTCGCATAATCACAAGCAACTTATCTCTATTGTAAATGAGCCTTGTCTACAATTGAAAATAAATAAAACAAAAAAAAAACTATAAAAAAAATCTTACAAACACAGAGAACGACATAGATAGAATAAAGAAATCGAACATGCTTTTATGGGAATAAATAAGACGGTAATTGACTAGTCGAGAGACCTTGAATTCTCTCGTCGTACCTTCGTATACCAGGGGGCACGGGATCCAACAGCAACTCTAACGAATCTTGCAATCTCAAACTACCACTTGGTGATGTCGTCATGTTCTGCTGTTTGGTGCTGGTAATAGTGACGGCGGCCGTGCTACCAAATAGTTCAATAACGGCGTAACACATTTCCGGAACGTTGGACGCAGCGACGCCCATGTCTTCGCGATTAACGTAAAATTTCAGGTTACCCTCGTTCGTTCGCTTTAAGCCAATTTTGTCGCCCACGCGTAGCCAATCCAGACTTGGACAATAGTTCCAACAAAGGCAGTGCGTCTTATGCCGGATCTGGTTACCTGCACTCGCATCATTACGAAATTGATGAAATTGACAAAAATAGTAACGAACCCCTCCGCGTCTTCAAAAAAAACCTTGAAAGTTCCTTGTAGCGGAGGGAGACATTATTAATGTAACCCACCAGTCAGATACCAGGATTCCCCAGGTATGGACGTTATGCCTTGAACGAGATTCGTCGAGGTGAGCCAACTTCCGATCTCGTTACTGACTATGCCTATCCTAAGCGAGCCGCTCCATTCATTCGCCACCTCCTGAATGCTAATCTCAAAAATTTCATTATTCTCTAGAGCCTCGTTGCTCAGCAGCACAGCATTGCAGTATTCCCGGCACCTCGTGGCCACCGTGCGACTCGTGTCCAGCTGGATGTTCGAGCCTACGGACTCGTGGAACGTGTGGGTTATTTCGGCCTGCTGGCTTGTCGTGCTGTTTTCCGAGGGTAAATACAATTGAAGCATTGTGTCGCGACGCTCGGGAACCACTATGGTTACCTACAAAGATATATTTTTATGTCAAATATTATGTAAAGAGTATCGTAACGTAACTGCATCGTGTCCGTCCATATTATTGGCCTCGCGTGAATACGGCAATGCCCGATCCTCACAGCTGCGAAGTATCACGATATAAACGAACCGAGCATGGTGGTAGCGAGGGAGTAGCGAGGGAGTAGCGAGGGAGTAGCGAGGTGGTAGCGCGGGAGTGGGAGGGGAGAAAAGCAGATTTATAGTGTTGCGCGCTTTTAAATCGAATAAGGAGCTTACTTGGGCACACTGTCCATAAAGATCGATGACTGGATAAACGTGAGGGGGTATTCGAGTGCAGGCCGGACCTTGATCCACTCCGTCTAAATAGTAATGTAGACTGGAATCGGAACACCTCATTATACCAATACGATTGCCCTCGGCGAGTTCGTCCAGGTCGCAGGAATATTTATCTCGAAGTGTCAGTCCATCGTACATCAAGCTGGATCCGGACAACATCCACGTGTCGTAATTGATGTCTGTCATTGTCATGGGGAATTTGAGCTTGTCGGGTCTGAAATAAGCGTGAAACTATTTATTTGCCTCGATTAAAGATTTATTACAAAATTTATTGCACCATGGGCGTCATGTAAAAATTAAAAACAAAAATCTTTTACATTTCAATAAGCTAATCGTTAAGAAACCAAATCTAAAATGGCGTTTAAAAAGTCCATACATTATATTTACTTTCTTTAAATGACTACTACAATTTAACATTCACACGAGTATTATCATGATTTTGCATGTGTGACAAGAATGCTGACAAGAATATTAATTAATTATTAATATTTTTAATTATTCTTAAGAATATGAATGAGCGTACATTAAAAAAAAGGTGTGAACATACATTATTACTCATTAGGGTCTAAAACCATATTATTTATTTTGAATACAAATACGTGAAAATACGTTAGGCATGTATCGAAGCGATAATATGCTTAAGTTATCAGTTTTTCCAACTTTTAACGCCCAAATTTAAGCCTAAATTAAACCTACATTTTTCTTTCAACATTCTTGGAAGGATTTCCAAGTAACGTAACCACGACCTCTTAAAGCAACACACCGTTTCTCGTTTACAGAAGCATCGGCATAAAGTGTCCGAATGATTATAGTTACGTTCGCTAAAAAAAAAAAAAAAAAAAAAAACCGAATAATATGTTTACCTTATTGCGGTGACACCTGCTTCAATGGCACCGGACCAACGGTCGACCATTTTATCGATAGAAACTTCGAACATTTCACCATCGCGTAATGCTCGATTTCCTATGACGATGGCATTGTTGAATTCGCCAAGAGCACGAGGTCGCGAGGCCGTTAAGCCATTGTTCGTGATGCGGGCATTTTGACCGTGTTTGTGGTGAAAGCGCAGATCGCTATCAAACATTAAAAATATTTAAACATTTTTCATCTAGGGAAACGTCGTCAGTGGTATTTTGATTTTGTTTATTCGCATGAGCGCACGTACTTTTGTCGTGGCTGTTAATACGAAGCTAATAATTTTTCTCTTGCAATCTCAAGGATATCAAGGGCACAAGTGCCCTTATCTATACACGGATTTTCAAAAATCTCGTAACACATACAATGCAAACTGTATAATTAACTATTTACGATGGATGTACATATTTCCAGTATAATTTATCAATTAGTGCAAGAATACATAACAGCGGCAGATAAATATAAACAAATAAAAGTGTCATACCAATACAGGGTGGTGTTGCTAAGACTCGAGTTAATTGTCGTTGGACTGCAAAAGTCCGAATTATCAATGATGGTTGCCTGTGCCGCTTGCCCATAAAGGTCTATGACGCCAAAAACATTCTCCGGAATGCCGGTGGCTGCGACTCCTTGATCCGAGCCGTTTACGAAGAAGTGCAGCGATGAATTCTCTTTGCGCATAACACCAACGCGATCGCCCACGTGAAGCCGATCGAGATTCTGTCCATATTGATCGATCGTCGTGGTGCCGTTGTGCATGACTCCGTTGTCTGTCATCATCCACGTGCCCGATCTAATGATCGGAATCTCAGATGAGTCTTAGGATGCAAAGAATTTTCTTAAAAGTTGACTAGTTTATGAATTTTTTTTTCTCGTCCCATTTCAGATGACACCCGACATTAGGCAAAAGACTGGTTTAGGATGTGATATTTAAAAAAAAAAAAAAAAAAAAAAAAAGATAGTCTTTTTTTGCTGTTGAAATACTCATGAGCAACAATAGTTTTAGGACCGCTACATTGACACTTGTGTAAAGAGATATTGGTGGACTCGATGTCTAAATGGATCAAAGTCAAAATTGATAAAATCGTTATAATAAATAGGCTTAACACGTCGTCCGTCAATAATGCTTAATTAAGAAAAAAATATAAAGTAAGGACACAGCTCACCTCACATTCGTCATGGTAAACGGGAACTCCAATTCGGTTGGAGCATGAGTGGTAACGCCAATTTCTATCGTTCCTGCCCATTTTGTCACTATCTTATCTAGTCTTATCTCGAACAATTCGTTCGGTTTTAATGGCCGCGATGTCAAAACAACACCGTTGTTAAAGTCATCAATAGCGCTAAAAATATTACAGTTAGTGCCGTGGATTTGACATAAAAGTTTTGATTATTCTTTCAAATTGAAACGAATTTATATTAAATGCGAATTATAATTATTATTACTTTGGTCTGTGTGCCGTGCGCCCATTATTAATTACATCTGCTCGAGTACCACAGCGTGGATGGAACATTAATCTATCTAGAGGTTCTTCCGTCTCATCTGCTTCTGCAATAGGGGAAAGTCATTATAGCAAAACCAAAAACAGCATTTTTTAACACTATTATATCATGGGAATAATAAGATAATAAATAATAAATATCATTGCAAAAATCACCAACCGCTAATTCCTTGTAACTGTAATGTGTTTCTTCTGGTAATAAGATTTTGCTCTTCCCTTTCATCGCGATCCACAATTGTAACTTTAACGGTCATGCCATATAAATCTATAACTCCCCAGATTCCAGTGGGAACTTTTGCAGCGATACCTTGGTCAAGACCATTTATAAAATAATGAAGATTGCCATTACTTTTCCTCATCATGCCTACTCTATCGCCTTCCTGTTACATATTATACATAATATTATTATACATTATTATACATTATACATATTATTACATAATATATTTGGATGTTAAAAGTATTATAAAAGAGATGATTCTATTATATTAAGACTTTAAACTCAAATTCGTTTTACGATTTTTATAATTAAGGTTGCTATTAATATCTTGGAGACTAGATTTAAAATGAAACGTGAAAATCAATTTTACTAGGAGAACCGCACTGATTTAATAATATTAATAATACTAATTCAATAATACCCACTGATATTAAGTGTACATAGAAGACTGAGAAGCATCAAATAGAATTAGCAAAGACACAAAATTGTATATACATAAATGCTGTAATGTAATGTAACGATTATGTAAAGTAGATTAGACACGATCCACTTGGTTATTGTGCGTACAGCACAAAACGAGAGTCACGTTTCAATTGGTGCGATAAAATAAAAATAACGTTTAGTTTTGATAAAATCAGTCTTCACGACAAAGATATTGTTGGCAATTTATTGGAATATGTTAATATTGGATTTTACCGATAAGCTCAGGTATAAATAAATGTATAACTTTATAAGAATTCTATAACCAATCTATACGGAAAAATAGTTTGTACAAGATGTAAAATTTTTCAAACCTTCAAATTATTGTATTAGTATTGTGATTGCTTGAATAATTATTATCAGTAAAGTACGCAAGAATGTAGGCACAATAACGTTAAGTGTAATTTAAGTTCTCTAGGTTTTGTTCTGTAAATGAGTTTTAACGTTAAGCAATGAACTTTACAATTGTACAAATTTTTATGAAATAATACATTATATTAAAGAACGATAACTTACTCGTAGTTCATCTAAATTAAATTCACCGTATTCACGTTGTGTTCCTTGGCCACAAGTTAAAATTCCACAACCAGACATCATGGTGGTACCGGAACGCATATTTGTCATAGTTGAAGGGAATTCCAAGACAGTTGGACTATATGTGGTAACACCCATTTCAATGCTGCCAGACCATTTGTCAATTAGTCTGTCTATTCGAATCTGAAATAAGCGAAGTTAGTTGATTTGAGAATTCCAATGAATATTTAAATATCTAGCAAAACTGCGGAGCAAAGGTCTCGAAAACAATGTGAATTTGCTATAATCCGTGTTTCATTAATTATTAATATGTAAAAGAACGTGATTTTATATTAAAATATTGATTACAAATATATATATATAAATTATTTAGATTATAAAGTTAAGAGTGTAAAAGTTGGTAAAAAAGCTTTCTAAATTTTCCAAACTTACCTCGAACAATTCATTATCTCGCAAAGTTCTATGAGTCATAACGACTCCATTATTAAATTCGTCGAAAGGCCTCCTTCTTTCCGCTGTACGGGCATTGTTAGATAATTTAACTAATGAGCCTACTCGCTCGTGAAACTTCAATCTATCCTCCCTTATCGCGGCTATACTTGGATTTTTTGGCAGCACATTAAGATTGATATTTAGATTGGCTACTAAATTTGTAGTTAAAGAACCGGAGGCTCCTTCCATGGCATAGTCGTTATTTATCTCTACATTATCATTTGTTAGCTCGTCGTTGCTTCGACTCACCACATGGCCACTGGAAGGCTGAAGCGTCGTTATTTGAATGCAGTTTCCATACATGTTAATTACCGCATAAACTTGAGACGGTATATTTGTAGCTGCGATTCCTTGAGGCGATCCATTAATGTAAAAAACAAGCTCACCCTAGCGAAATATTAATATCTATTAAGTATCGTATGGTGGGTAAGAGTAACAATTATTAGAAATGATGCATTCGCTATGGACTTAGTCTTTAACCTTAGATGTCCGACATACTCCAAGAGTATTTCCTTCGTCTAACGTACTTAAATCTATTCCATATAATTCTAATATTGGTTCTCCGTCGTGTATAATACTAGATCCGCTCATGATCCAGGAGCCATGACGTAAATCAATAGCCAAGGCAGGTAAATTGGTTTTGTTCGGATCGCAGGCTGTAACTCCAATTTCTATGCTCCCGCTCCAAACCATCATCTACAAAAGTGGCAAAATACATATACAAGCAAATCTATTTCCTTAGCTTCAAGCACACACACCCTTCGCATTACCAATACCCAAGCACTCGGCTTAAATGCTCAATTTCATAATGCAAACGCCAACCCATGCAGTTTATAATAATAGCAACACTAACCTACGAACGTACACAACCGAAGCCCCATACTCGCGTCCACAATCCCAATGTCCGCGAATTTTTACCTTCGTCGATATACATTCGTTTTTACACTTTATTCGCACAAAATTCTCAAGCGCGCTTGCATTGGCCCTACGCATAAACAAGACGAAGCAAACACGAAAAATCAACGAAAAATCAACGAAAAATCGACCGAAAGCTCCCGAAATGCCATAAATACAGTCCAAACGCCGAATTTTGAGCCTTAAATGCCAAAAGTCATTAGTTCCATGCATCAATGCCAATAATTCAAATCCAAACAAAACAGCGGAAAATTAACCTAAATCCGTTGGAACTCGCAGAACTCGGCTCTTTCTCGCTCTTTACGAAATATATCGTCGCATCCTCGCTGTCGCTCTTCCTCCTCATTGCCAGTTCGGTGCCAAGGAAAGAAGAACAACAACGATCAACTACCACAACTATTATTACCTTCTTGTCGATCCGAACTCGAAAAACTTCGTCATCCCTCAGTGGCTCGGCGCTAAACACCAGACCGTAATTGTACTCGGAGATGTTCCTCACAGCTGTGCACTGATTGTTTATGAGGCTCACGCGGTCGCCGCATTTTCTGTGGAACAGTAGCATCCTCGCCTGCTCTGCGTTCCCTTCCCGCCGCTCGTTTAACTCCTTTACCGACCCACCCACAGGCCCAATCAACCTCACGACGAAGAAGAGAAGAGTCTCCGGGATGGAGATCGAGCCGCCGTCGCGCTCCCTGCCCTCTCGTCCATAAATATCAAGATTACGAACAAACAAGAGATCGCGGGAGGCTTACGCGCAGCCGTGGACGAGCCAACACGTGCGGCCTTCTTACTCTCGAGCTTCGGTCAATGCACAATGCAATTTGCACTCGTGATGATGCTGCTGCTTCGGCTGCTTCGGCTGCTTCGGCTGCTTCGATCGCTGCCCCGGCCAACCGCCTCGCTTCGCGGTTTATTACGAATAATCCCGATATTGGAATTACTATTGATTCGAGCGTGAGCTAATTGGAAATTTAAAGGGCCATCCATCCGTCACTTCCTTTGCCCCCCCCGCCCCCACCGCCCCCACCGCCCCCACCGTCGCCGCCATACACACGAGCGCACACACACACACATTTCCATCTAGTTATCAAGTCTGTTTGGCTTGTATTTTGTATATTAAAGTGGCCGTCAACCGATGGAAGAGTTGGCGTAGTTGGTGCATCGCGTCGTTCGCGATAAAAATATTTGCACGTACGGTCAAATTGGGGCGTGCGTGCCTCTACAAAGATAAAATATCTATGGAGGTTGGGTTGAGGTTGAGAAGGGCATTATTTACTTTGAGGTTATAATATTTGTAAAACAAATGTTGATTGGCGTCTAATGTTGCGGTGGCGTATCATTGGCGATGATATTTTGATCTACCGTACATTGTAAATTGTTTATCATTCGCTCGCTCTTCAAATACCTTATCAATTCAATTGTCGGTGCTTTAATATTAATTAGTTCATTCACATTCCGAGCTCTCGAATAATTATGTGCCTTTTAAATTTAATTATTGCTGTTAGGTATTAAGCAACATACTAAATAAAAAATATTTTCGACAATTGACTTTCTATTGTAATAGATTGGTAATAATTCGTACGAGAAACAACGACGACAACGACGACAACGACGACGACAACAACAACAATAATAAAGCCGTATTATTATGCTAAAAGTTGATACTAAAGTGCAAAATGTTGCCAAAATAATTAAAATTTATTTCATGGTTTTAATACGTATTAGCGCGAATAATGGATTTTTTTTTCAGATATTTTATTTATGCAATTTTATTAGACAATCTAAGTCGAGAGCGAAGAATTCGATTTTTATAGAAAATCAATGTAACGGTAAGACAAACATAAAATTTCCATAATTTATGATGGACGCTATTACTTTGATGTATTTTGATTAGACGATAAATATATTATAAAGATAATTATTTTTATATGTAGTGATTATGTTTTTTTTTTTGTTTTTTGTTTTTGTTTTTGTTTTGTCATAATTTATTTAACATTTTTGTACAGATAAAAATAAATTGATTTTTACTTAAATAGTATGGACCTTCAAAAATTTTCATTCTTTGTTAGAGCGATAAAATGCTCGATGTATTTCTGCAATTGAAGAATTATTCATCAATCTTTCGTAGCGAAATATCATTCTGTTTCATGGAATGCTTTGCAATATCATAGAATGTTCTTTTAATTTTTGTACCTATGAATTCAAAATTAATCTCTATCTGGATAATACTGAACGAGAATTTTAGTTACTTGCTGGGCAAGTTCAGGTGACGAGGCGCACAAAACTCTTCGACTCAGTGGATCTAAATCGCCACCTAAAAATAAAATAATAGTCACAACAACTCGTTAAAATAATTTTTCCTATAATACACCAAAAAAAAAAAGGCCTTTTTTTTTTTTTTTTTTTTTTTTTTTTTATAAGCGTCAAAGAATACAGCACTTAAGATCGTAACAACGATATTATTAAAATGTTTATCGAGCATTATCGTATATTAGAAGTAGATATTGCGTTGAAATGTTCAAAGCCCTCTTAATAATCGTTACGATGCCATTTAACCCAAGAAATATTGATAAATTGCACGTAATAAAATTCGACGGTCTCATCAATGATATAACGAAGAGCACAATCGACATTTTATTAGCTCGACATATAGATTGAAATAAAAATTGGTTGTTTATTTACTATCACGTGTGTATAAATATAATATATAAAAATCAATCTGTGAATGTAATTGTCGTTATGGAAGTATTTTGACGTATTCAAATATTGAAATATTCAAAGTGGTTTACCGGCTGGATCGATACAGACTCCTCCTGCTTCTCTTACTATGAGATCTCCTGCTGCAATGTCCCATATGTGGATACTGAATTCATGCATAAGATCAGCAGCTCCCATTGCCACCATACACATATTCAGTGCACAAGATCCGAGAGCTCGTGTCCTGGGGGTTAAAGAAAAAAATATAATAAAATACAAAAAAAAAAAAAAAAAAAAAAAAAAAAAAAAAAATTAATGCGAAAGCGATCGTTTAGGCTCTGCGAGCCGTTAATCTTTTGCTAAACGATCTTGTCTGCTTGTTTACTTGTGCGTTATTGAGAGTTGTGTTAATCAAGTTAAAGTACGCGCTTATTCTACCTTAAATAAGAGTTTAAAATGTTACGTCCATTTTAAAAATACATAGATTAGACCTTCATTCGATTTTATAATATCCGAGATATTTGCCTCGAATGCAGAAATATTCTAACCGTAGCGCTATACACAAAATTATATGAACTCTATTATTAATGTCGTTTTAGTCGTATATTATTAAAATGCAATCGTTAATAAAGAAAAATATATGATTTTTGATAACCGAATAACCAATTTAGCAAGTCGATCGCATAACTGAATGGCCATGAAATTTATTATGGAAAAAAGCGTCCGAGATATTATATAGGAGATAATATAATAAAGCAATTTCCAAGGTATAAAATAAGGTTGCGAATTTTTTCATTTTAAATAATAATTGCAAATAATTTCATGAAAATATATGCCAAGTAATTCAATTTACCCATGTACGAGAGGCGTTAGCGTTTTGAGATTTTCCATTACAATCTTCATTTTTTGCGAGTCTCTGCTGGTTCCCAACTCCATCATCACCAATGCCTTATTTAAATCTGTAAAATTTGTAAATCATTATAATTTTTTGTATTAAATATTCAAATGCAGAAAATATATTTCTTTAGAAGCATATTTAACGGAACTTCAGTCATTAATTTTGAATTTAATACTGTTTGAATTTAATAATTCAACAGATATTAACACAATTTGTTGAGGATAAACGTGGTATTTTTAAGCGTAAGGATTATACATTTTTATCAAGTCATCAAGCTTTTTAAATCGATATACATTCATTAGTATTCGAATACGACTTATCAAATATCTTAGAAAGAAAATGATATGATTTTTTAAAGGCGAGTCTATTATAGAGTTAGATTGATGAGGCATCTAGACATGTCATTTATTATTTATTTAATTTTTTTTTTTTTTTTTTTTTTTTTTTTTTTGAACCTCATAGAATTTGACATCAAGTAATTTATCAGAAGAATCACTTACGCATTAGAATTATTTAATCAACAGATCCAGAATGTGAATATTTCTGAGAAGCACTTAAATTGAAGATTTTTTTTTTTTTTTTTTTTTCAAGAATAATAGTGTAAGTAAGCACGCTCGATAAGTCGATTTGGTAAATCTTGGTAAACCGACTAATCATGATTAGCTTTCTATTTCACCAGAATGAGCGAGAGTAGAAAGTAAATGGATCCATACATACGTCGATAACTTTTATTCTAATGTGTATATTCTTCGGCTTTTCTAATACATTGTTTTATATTAACAAAAAATTCTATTTATTTATGTTAATACATTATATATTTTTAGCTAATAATTAGTCTACTTTCATTTTGTATCTAATCGTATTTAATATACAATACCATTTTTCAATACAATATGACCATATTATTACATCATTCACTAAGTAAAAGAGCAAGTAGTCCGAGTAATACAATAATGCCTGGATTAATTATAATATATAGCGTATATGAAATATAGGCTACCTACCTTTTTCACCGGAAACACGAATTTGCGCTCCATTGTAAAATGCGCCTTCACCTCGGCGCGCCGAGAAAAACTGTTCCAATACGGGATTGTAGACGATACCGATTTCCGGGCGCTTATTAATGTACAGAGCAATTGATATACAAGTGTGAGGCATGGCGTGAACGAAGTTCATAGTGCCGTCGACTGGATCGATAATCCATGTCGGCGCATCCGTCAATTCCACTCGATGATTCGATTCCGCAGTGTTTTCCTCCCCGATAAATCTGAAAATCAGTCAATCAGTTGCTTCGGGAGCTTAGAATATTACATGTACTTTCACTTGTAATCGAAATTATTAATTCAACCGATGTATAAAATATCGTTACATTTAGGGTATTATAATTTCTAAATGTTATAGCTGAAGAAATGCGTGAAGCTAAGCATAATCGTTTAGTTTACAAATGTGAAAGATTACAGTGTAAAAACAGAAAAATTAAGTTTTTTTTTTTTTTTTTGTTTTTTTCACAAACATGTATAATGGAACGTATATTCAAGTTTATGATACAAAAGTTGAAAGAATTTATTCTCTTCTAGAGATTAAAGTATCTTGTAATAATTTTTAATTTGTACATTAACTTATTAAGCTTCTTAGTATTATTATTTTTTGATTTGTTATATATTTTATCGTCCTTACAGCTTTCCAAACATTTACAATTTATAAAATGTAGATACTTATAAATTTTATTCTTACTTGTGATTTGGAAATTTAGCCGAAATCCCATTAATCAATAGCTTCTCAACCATCTGATCCGTTTCAGTAACCAAATCAACATCGCAAGATTTGATTAAAACCGTTTTTTGTCTAGAAATATTTTCTCTAATGAGCTGAAAACAAACATCGTATTTATATATTTAATTATTAATTTTTGGCGCTGTCGTAACGTAATGATAAAAAATAAATTTGCCTCGTTAGAGACAAAATAATAATAATAATAATGATAATGATAAAGTGGAGTAATTTTTGTATTATACCAATAGTAATTTGAATTCTATGTATGAATTTTATGCTAAAACGCACAAGATTACCAGTGTAAATTAGCGTAAAGGAATCTTCCTGATTGAAATAAATTTATTAACCTGGCATATTACTGGCAGACTCTGCTGGCTAAACTTATCGTTCCCTGCATTACTACACTTTGACTCCTTCCACATTGACCATTGACAAGAATTAGTATTAGTAACATTAGAAAATAATATTAGTTAAGATAAGCAGCATCGATCAGAATAAATTTATAATTCAATCAGTTTTTCCAATGAACAAGTCTGGCGTTCTTTCATATATATATCTTATGCACGTGGCTATATACATGCTTAAAGTACATAGGTCTGTGGGAAAAATCGATAGCCCGCGCTAGCAAACGATAATAATCCGGCTGTTGTCTATTCTTCTGCTTTCCATCAAGGCCACGTCGTTACATGTACATAAACGTTAACAGGTTTGTTTGGCTCATCGATTAATTTTTCAGATTATAAAAATAAATTCGCAGCCGACTGGAGACACGACACGCGAACGGTTTTCTGCGAT